TATCTATCTATCTATCTATCTATCTATCATCACCTATCATCATCATCTATCTATCATCATCATCTATCTATCATCTATCTATCAGCTATTAATCATCTATCTCTCTCTTTAGTGTGTGTGTGTGTTTGTGTGTGTGTGTGTGTGTGTGTGTATGTGTGTGTAACTGAAGGCTGTCTAATAAAAATCCCAGTGCCAGGCAAGGGAAAACTTACTTCTGAGTTGTTTGTCAGGCTATTTCAAGAAACACCCAAAACAGACATTATTTCAATAAATTAAATGTTATATACCTAAACACTCCATTCTTTACTGATCTCCAGATTGACTAAGTTCTCAAACGACACCCCAAGTCCTCCAAATTCCTATTACTTATGGAAAGGCTCACATCTCCTCCTAGAGGTCACAGGAGGCATAGCTTCAGAACACAGGCTTTGTCAGGACAGTTCATTTTTTCTTAATTAGCACTTTAGAAAAATAAAATAACATTATTTTCTACACTAATAGTATCATGTACACTCACAGATTGTTCAGGTAAATTAAGCACAGCCACTGCTGTGTCCTAGCGCATTCCTTTTTAGTAGAAGGAAGAAGCACATGGCCTTTCTGCTGCTCTTCCCTTGCTCCCTTTGAGCCCTTCCCTGAAACAATGGGGCAATGAGTGTCCAGGTCCATGGAGCACCTTTTCAGACCTAGTGATAGACAGAGGTGAAGGGGGAGGACGAGTTGGTTCAGTGGAGCATTGATAAAAAGTTTCAATGCTATCTCGCACATGTCCAGTTATCCAAGACCCACATTTTGATCACAGAATTTGGTCTTAAGTCTATGAGGGTTTTTTTTTTCAGGATAAATCCACCTAATACACAAGTAGTCACAGCAATTTTGTCATGACTATAAATGTCAAATCCAAGTCCTTATCCAAGTCCTTCGTTCAGTAGAGCATCTTTGTTATGTTTGATATTTATTTCTAGTGAAGATCACTTTTCTTTCTCTTTTTTTCCTTGAAGTGTTATATTTTGAAGAAAAAGAGTTAATTTCCTATGACACTCAGGTAAGTGGCTGCTCCTTAAAAAGTTACATTTTCCCCTCTCCACTCTTTTCTAAAAAAATTCTTTATTTATTGTTTTTATGTGTGTGAGTGTATTGCCTGCATGTATGTAAGTGTAACTGTGTTGCTCTCAGAGGTCAGAAGAGGGCATCAGATCCCCTGGAACTAGAATTACAGGTGTATGGGAGAGAGAATAGTTGTATTCTTTCAATTGACACAACAATTTCCTACTTGCTATTTTCACTGTTACTATTTGATAGAATACATAGGTTTGAACAGTTCTAGAGATGAAATTTATCTCTCAGAGTAACTTTCTCCTGGACTGAATGGCTGATCATATCTTACAGCTTGTTGTTATACTACCCAAGTAATATAACCTTCCTTTGAGCTGCTGGTCAGTCCAAGTTGAATTTCAGGAATGAGTACCTTATAAAACCCAGAAGAACATAATACCTGGGTCTATTACCATGCATTCTTGGCTTTTCTTAACATGAAACTTCCATGGTGCATGATAGAGGTCAGTGGCAATTAGAATTTTAAGTGCAAAATGTGTCAAGGCTTGAGCATTAAATCAAGCCTTTCTTTGAAACAGATGAATTGCAATTTTTCTTAACTTTATCAAAATTTCTTTTAGAATTACATGCAGTTTGAGTTAATATCATTTGATTCTTACAACCTAATGATTTTTATTTGATTCTATAATTCTACATAATTAGCCAATCTAATTATGTAATGTGACTCCAGGAAGTAATATTTCTTTCCAACCCACAATGTCAAGTCAGGAAACATGAAAGGTCTACTGTTTAAATTGTTCGTTATGTTGTCATGAACCACAAAAACTGTAGGCCAAATTACATGTATCAGAATTCTTTGGGAGATAATTCATTGTGCTGTAATCTTGACAATTTTTAAAATTTGAAACAGAAAAATCTTACAAATTTCCATTTAGTTACAGGGGAATGTAACATGACAGAATTTAAAAACATGTCTAGAATATAGGAATTGAACACACACATACACACACAGAGTAAATGAAGAGCAAAGCCAATAGCATTCAAGTTGCCCATAACCACCCTTCAGGCGCCACTGTTCCTGCTCTATGTTCTATTGATACTGACCTTATCCTGTACTTGAGGGCCTGGGAACACCATGGACTCCTGCTAACAGTACTCTACCACATGACTTTAAT